TCGAAATGGCTCAGTAACAAAAGCTCTAATTACAAAATATATTATAACAAAACATACTATTACAAAGCATATAATTGCAAAACATATAATAACAAAACATATAATAACAAAAGATATAATTACAAAATCTATAAAATTACCAAGAGCTTGTTCATTTGAAAATTTCACTAAGACTATTTTTTGGTTCATTTAAAGTATTTTTTAAGTTCATTTGAACTACAAGCCACAGCATTCGGCCCCCTAGCCTCTCCTGCCGCAGTGCTCGGCCCAGAAAGTGTCTTAACCTAAACGAACCCTGAAATAATACGTACATTTGAACTACTTTTTGGTTCAGTTGAACTATTTTCTGGTTCATTTAAACTATTTTTGTGCTTAAATACAATGGAATATAATCCACTGAACATTTAATATATTTTGTAATATTTGACTTTCTATAGATTGTGTAATTATATCTTTTGTAACTTATATATTTTGTACTTTATATCTTATGTTACTTATTGCATATGTAATTTTATGTTACATTAATTATTATATATTTTGTAATTATATCTTATGTTACTGAGCCACACTGCACTAGCCAGAGTGAGCAGCATTCGGTTTCTTCTATTTGAAATCAAACGTGTTTTGGTCTTTAATTCAATAATCATTTACTTTACGGATTTGTTCATTTTTAATCAAAATGCGTATGCCAACAAAAAAGTATTTTCTAAAAAAGGCCAACAAATTATGTTTAATGGGTCAAATTGTGATCAAAAGTCACAGCTTTCTGGAATATTGAAAAGTAAACGAATATAAAATTACAGTCAGAACCAGAAAACTGTTGAAAAGGATGACTCTATAACAGCAATAATTAAGCACGTTTTTGATGTTGTTACAGGCCCTTTGAAACAAGTAAAAAACTCGATTTCTTCTGGTTGTGCAAAAATTCCTTGCCACTAATTATTCTTATGTTTTCTGAGTCTTACTGTTCAATAAACTCTAGTATTTTATAAATCCCTGCAGTAAGTTTGGCTGTAAGTATAAAATGAAGTGTAGAGAGGGCGAGGTGTATCAGTTCACTGCAGAAACATTTATTTAAATTATATCAGGATTATATCAGGCAAACAACGGGGGAAAAATTGCAGGATACAAGATACAGGGGTTAAATTACAGGATACAGGGCGTAAGATGCAGGATATAAGATACAGGGTTAAATTGCAGGATACAGGGGTTAAATTGCAGGATACAGGATGCAGGGGTTAAATTGCAGGATATAAGCTACAGGGTTAAATTGCAGGATACAGGATACAGGGAATAAATGGCAGGATACAAGATACAGGGGTTAAATAGCAGGCTACAGGATACACGGGTTAAATGGCAGGATACAGGATACAGGGCGTATTATGCAGGGTAAAAGATAAATGGGTTAAAGTGCATGATAAAGATACAGGTGTTTTATGGCAGGATACAGGATACAGGGCGTAAGATGCAGGGTAAAAGTTACATGGGTTAAATTGCAGGATAAAGATACAGAGGTCAAATTACAGGATACACAGGATACAGGGCGTAAATTGCAGGATATAAGATACATGGGTTAAACTGCAGGATGCAGGATACAGGGGTTAAATTACAGAATACAGAATACAAGGTGTAAGATGCAGGGTAAAAGATACATGGGTAATATTGCAGTATAAAGATACAGTGGTTAAATTGCAGGATACAAGATACAGGGGTTAAATTGCAGGATACAGGATACAGGGCGTATGATGCAGGGTAAAAGATACACGGGTTATATTGCAGTATAAAGATACAGGGGTTAAATTGCAGGATACAGGATACAGGGCGTAAGATGCAGGGTAAAAGATACATGGGTTATATTGCAGTATAAAGATACAGGGGTTAAATTGCATGACACAGGATACAAGGGTCAAATTGCAGGATACAAGATACAGGGGTTAAATGGCAGGATACAGGATACAGGGCGTAAGATGCAAGGTAAAAGATACATGGGTTAAATTGCAGGGTAAAGATACAGTGTCAAATTGCAGGATACAAAGGATACAGGGCGTAAATTGCAGGATATATGATGCATGGGTTAAACTGTAGGGTACAGGATACAGGAGTTAAATTGCAGGATACAAGATACAGTGGGTAAATTGAAGGATACAGGAAACATGGGTCAAATTGCAGGATACAGGATACTGGGGGTAAATTGCAGGATTCAAGATACAGGGGGTTAAATAGCAGGATACAGGATACAGGGGTTAAATTGCAGGATACAAGATACAGTGGATAAATTGTAGGATACAGAGTACATGGGTTAAATTGTAGGATACAAGATACTGGGGGTAAAATTGCAGGATTCAAGATACAGGGAGTAAATTGCATTGGATACAAGATACAGAGGTTAAATTGCAGCATACAAGATACAGGGGGTTAAATAGCAGGATACAGGATACAGGGGTTAAATTGCAGGATACTATACTAGATACAGGGGTTAAATTGAAGGATACAGGATACAGGGCTTAAATTGAAGGATACAGGATACAAGGGTTAAATTGCAGGATACAGAAAACAGGGGTTAACTAGCAGGATACAGAATACAATGGGTAAATTGCAGAATACAGGATACAGGGGTTAAATTGCATTTTTATTTATTTTTAAATAGTAACCGTCCTGTGCCCTACCCTCGACATTTAAAAACAAAATTTGACAACAATTAAATTTAAAGAAACCGGTGTTGCCCATGAAGAAAAAAATTCCGAATAAAAAAGTCGATTTAAAGGATCAAAATTTTAAATTTTGTTGAGCCTATATGTTACCCCCAGGGAACCCAAGGGTTCACTCAAAACATTCAGCCAAATTGGTCCAGCCATTTAGCCAGCTATTGCTAACATATATATATATAAATAGGACGAAACACTGTGTCTATGGAATATGGATAATATATTTACAAATATCACGCACCTCTGCCTCTTTAGTAAAAGTAAATTCAGCCTATATGAAGGATAAAGTCTAACCGCGTCAACCTTGTTGGACCGGCTAGTCCTATCCACAGAGCTAGGTACAGTACAAACTGGGACTGGTAAGGTTGACCCGGCTCGGAAATTCATATGTACTTCGGCTGCCCGTGATATCTATAAATAAACGAAGAGCTTTATTATTTAGATGTTTTCCTAAAAAGTAAAGATAATGCGATGTTGCAACACGTACCTCTCCCCCCTACACAGTTTTCTAGGATTAACAATAAAGAGAATAGATAAATCTCTGTTCTGCGGATATTATATAATAACAGAGAAGAAGTTTATATACATAGTTGCACGTTATAAATCACGGGTTGGAGAGAACGTGGTATATGTGTAGGATTAATTGTTTATATTGCTTTCCTTTACTTTATATTGGTTTTCAAGAATTCAGAGAATGTTTGGCTCGGTTTTCACATTCTAGGTTTAATAAACGTGATAAGCCATGATTCTTATACATGATGTTTTTGATATATAATCTTATTTCTTTTCTATCGATATCTTTATATTTAACTTCCTCAATTTAAGTGCTACAAACCTGCAATTGGTGGCCATCGATTGGAAATGTTACAGAGATTATGACAATGTCCAAATATTTGAAAATCAAACTATTATGAGACCTTTAGTACCTAAAACATCATTATTTTGGGACATCCTGCACTGTACATCTATATATATTAATATAAATATATATATAGATCCGTTTGTATCCAATAAAAGTCAAAACGGCTGAACCAATCGGGCCAAAATTTTGTAATGGACCTCACATGAAATTGTATTAAATTAAAACAATAAACATTATACACAATACAAAAAGGTTGATAGTTCATCCGTTAAAAGAAAAAGAAAATGACAACAACAAAATGAAAGTTTTATGATAGTTCAGTTCTATCCAATTTTAAAGAAAAGAGAATTTGATAAAATGTTCAAAATTGGCCAAAACTGATGATGTAAAGACTGTATCCAAGAAAATATACAACAAATTTAAATTATGAAATAAAATGAATTGATTCTTTATTCTTTCCACAGACTCAAATTTTATATTCCATATATCTGTGTAACTTGATGGTGAAAACTTTTGATATTTGAAACTTTGATTATTTGATCTCACAGAATTTATAGTTTGAATTAGGTAAGTTCTACGACATTGGGTTGCAAAGATATTTGGATTGGAAAATCAGAGTTTGTGAAATGTGGCAATTCCATTAAAGAGTCTAAAGTGTGGTTTAAGGTGCATGGCCTAATTGCATGGTATGTCTATTGTATTGTGCACATGGTATACCATAAAAACTTTGAAAAAAAAATTAAATAAAAATTATTTAAAAGAAATCTTTAACATTAAATATTGTCTGTTTCTCCGTGTGGGGGGGGGGGTACGTATATCGGTGGAAATTATTTTTTCACATCCTGTATTCCACTGCAGTAAAGTTTGGCCCAAATCCAGCTTTCTCCAACAGTAAACTGTAAACTCAAGAGAGAAAGCGTGAATAGTACACAGTACACTACTTACAGTACATGTTTATATTGTATTCAGAGTACATTTAGAGTTTTCATCAGACAGTACCTGAGTACACATTACACTCTAAAGTTCAGATGCAGTGACAATTAGTTATCTAAAACAGAGTTCCTAAAACATGGTATCAGAAATCAGGTATCAGAAACCTGGTATATCAGAAACCTGGTATATCAGAAACCGGGTATATGAAACCGGGTATCGGAAACCGGGTATCTTAAACCTGGTATATCAGAAACCAGGTATCTGAAACCTGGTATATCAGAAACCGGGTATCTGAAATTTGGTATCTGAAACCGGGTATCTGAAACCAGGTATCTGAAACCGGGTATCTGAAACCAGGTATCTGAAACCGAGTATCTGACACCTGGTATCTGAAGCCTAAAACCACACTAATGATAGTTCAATCGATCGTTAGCCCTGTTAATATGACACCAAAATGATATTAAATAAGTTATTGGTTGAAATTTTTCTCTCATGTTTTCAGAAAATGCTTTTCCAATAAAATCAAGAAAATATAAATGCACAAAAGAATATGGTACTGACAGGTAATTAAATTATTTTATATTTGGGAGACTTTCGACGTAGGTTTAAGTGACCCTCCATTAAAAAAAAAAAGAAAGAGTGTGGGTACCATTTTAAATTTTAACTGAGTAACAAAGATATTTTTCATTTTCTGTTTTTAAAAAGATATAAATTCATTTCATTTTCGTTTTTTTCTCAGCAGCATAAATTTGCAAGTTACGTTTATAGAGAAACCACGTTATAATATAGAAGACACGATTCTCTATAATTGGAAATGTCGTCTCAAGTCCCTTCAAGAACTGATAAATGTATATACGTTTAACATCTACTGAACTTTTTTTTTAGCATCAGCTGTTTTCTTATTAGTTAAAAAAAAGGTTTAAAAATACAAAAATAACTTTCCCTCCCTTGGTATAATATTAATCGCTCAGTGAAATCGTTCGTTCAATAAAATTGCTTGTCTAATAAAAAACAATCGTTTTTTCAAAAATGTGTTAAAAAAATAGCTCATTCAGTAAAAAATCTTTTGTTTAAAAAAAAACTATAGTATTTTTTCAACTATTTTGAAAAATTCGTTTGTTCAGAAAAACACCATCGTTCTTTTCCAAATATTTTGGAAAATTTGTTCGTTCAATAAAAATCGTTTTTCAACTTAGTTTAAATGATATTAAATCTTTCATGTTTTATTCATAATTTTGTCATTTCTCTGAACAATCCATTTCTTTCGTCCATAGTTCGTTTTTTATCTAAACAACACCATTAACCACAAAAAAGTTTGTTCATTCTCAAAAACTTTCTTCGTTCAAAAATGTATGCTCATCTTTATTAATCATGAGTTAAAATACGTTATCCTAGCTAGGTTAAAGGAACTTAAGCGACATATCTCCTAAGAAACTTTATTAAAACAATTCTGAAAATAAATAAAGTGGGGTTTTCTTGTACTAATTTACATGAATGTATTTATTATGTAGAGAAAATGGGTTCTTCTGATGAATTGAAGAAAACTAGGTAAGTTATTTTTTTTTACTTTTTGAAAAAGTATTTTTGATTGACAAAAATTTTGTCAAAAACAGGGAATTTAAGCTCTTGTTGTACTGGCTTTCAGTGGATCTGATCATATTGTTTTTTTTTCGTTCATGTCCGGCACTTTTCCAGAGATGAGATTTTTAACGCTTAAACCCGAGTAAAACTCGGTCTTTGCGTCTGCTTAGACCAAATTAATGGCCTTCAGTTTAGTAAAAACCAACCATCTTGGGGTTTTCTTTCCTTAAGGCTCGATCAAGTCTTCAGCAGTTGATCGTAAATTTAGTAAAATCTTTTATATTAGTACATTTAAAATTTAAAATTTAATTAATTAAATTTAAAACATACAATGAAAATAATGTATAATTTAATTAAATTTAAAACATACAATGAAAATAATGTATCTACATAAAGGTTGAATTTTCCTTGTCACAACTGATCTGACGGCATTGTATCTGCTACAGAGAGAAGGCTTTCTAAACATTCTCTCATTGGTCGAATCAGAACCAATCCTGACTTGGGTTCTATCTAAGCCCGAGTTAAAGCTGTAAAAATTCAACTCTGGTATTAAGCTCACTAAAATCTAGACAACTCTAAAATTTATTCATTAAATTCTTAGACATCCTTCATGTATTTGAAAGTGTCAGAAAATCTTTGCCTTTGGTTTAACTTACGAACTCACTTATACATTTTTGTAGCCTTTTAAACTTTAAGAAACACAATTGAATAATAAGGACTTATCTAGCCTGTAAGGGCTGGTTTTAATGTTTTTAACTAAAACATACAGGGTGGGTGAATAAAACAAAAGTGTGATGAGTGGCGGCGGCGTCTGATACAAAATTGTACCTTTTTTGTGCGACTCTCCTGTATGGTATTTTTTCAATATTTTTTGAAATTTTTTTTTTAATTCTGGTATATAATGGTAAAAAAAAGCAAAAATCTGTATATATATTATTCCTATCAAATTCTAGAATTTTATAAATATAGAATCACAGAAAATTTGCAAAATTGTAATAAGGAAATTAGTAATTTTCAGTTCTGGACTAATTTTCAAGGAAAAGTTCTTTACATCCTCTAGTTTACTTTCTTCTTAGTATATTCTAAAGTTATGAATATACGCTGTTCAGTTGAAAACTTAGGAGCAATTAAAAACAACTTTTCTTGGAAATTTAGACCAGAACTGAAAATTGCAAATTTCCATATTTTGCGAATTTTCTGTGATTCTCTTATTCAATATTTACAAAATTTTAGAGTTTTATAGAAATTAAACCTGTTCGGGAAACTAATCTATGAACCTTTTGATCTAAAAGGAATTTCATCTTAGAATAATCTGATCTAATAAGAACTTAATTTAAAAAACGTTTAAATTAATCTAAATTATTTTTTTTAGATCTAAGTCCGCTTGGCGTATCAAAAACAGTTCCAGAAAATATTGAATAAATAACATACAGGAGATTTGCACAAAATATAGTACAATTATACACTAAGACGCCATTAATCACATTTTTTTGACTCACCGTTTACAAATCAAAATCAAAACATTTCCCTAAAAAAAAAATGAAAACACTTACACAGATAAAAACTTAAAATCAGTTTTCAGTTATTTGTGATTTTTATCGGGAGAAGAACTCAATTTAATTAAAATCATATTGCAGCGATAATATTGTGAAATATGAAGATTACATTTAAGCAATCTTCAAGTGGATTTGATAGAGTTACTTAAAGCAACAAGGGAGTAGTGGTAAGTGGACTCAGCGCATTGTGTACAAAAAATGTAAGAGTTGGTCGACTTTGGAGTGGTGCAACGCCTTGGCCTTTTGGGGTTTACCTCAATAACTTGCGCATACTTTTTTTGTAGCCCTAGCCCTTTATCTGTGCAACCTGTAGCCCTAGCCCTTTATCTGTGCAACCTGTAGCCCTAGCCCTTTATCTGTGCAACCTGTAGCCCTAGCCCTTTATCTGTGCAACCNTCCAGATGCAACCTGTAGCCCTAGCCCTTTATCTGTGCAACCTGATTTGTGTAAACCTTTAATATTTCAAACTTCGATTAATTAATTAATAGTTTAAAATATCTAAGGTCTACGACACTGGGTTCCAAAGATATATAAATTAGAAAATCAGAGTTTGTAATAAAGACTCAATTCCTTTCTCATCGATTTTTTTATCATTGTAATAAAAGTTTTTTTTATATCTATTTAGTTTACGAGTGCTATTACTGGTATTTTTGAACAGCACAATGTGGCTTGCTGGGGGCCTCCTGTTCATGTATCTCGAGGCGCCTAATGAAGCTGTGCATAAATGTGGTAAGCTACAGTATTAACTTCTGAATGATTGTTGTCTTAGAACGTTCTTTAAATTGAAAAATGTCTCGATTTCAATTCTTTTTAGGATTTAAATAAAAAAATGTTCGATACAAATATTCTACAACAAATATAATTTTTCTTCAATCATTTAAAAAATCCTGTAACTCAAGTCATGATTTTAAAAATTCTATGAACATGAAGCACACAGCATGTCAATTGGGCTGTGTGCATGTGTACACAGACCCATCACACTTTAAAAGCTGATCATAAAGATACTGGTAAAACTGTTTTCTGTGTAACAACATCATATCAAATACTCAAAATAATTCTTGAATTCTACAGTTTTATGGGTCTTACTGCATTCTGTATCTCAAGAGACCATGCACGTATTATAATGGGACTGTATGCGTAATTTCAAGTGTTCCTCCATGCAAAGATGGCAACGCCCGATTTACAACAGTACCTGTAAAACCTTCATCTGATTCATAATGTGGAAGATAAAATAGCTTTTCAAGGTTTTAAGTGTTTAATTTTGATAATTTCAATATGGTTTCCTGCAGTAAAATTAATCCGTTTTCTAAGTTATAAACATTTATATTTAATTCATACTTGATCAGACAAAACATTTATGATTACCATTGTAAATCGAGCATTGCCATATTTCCACGGAATTACGCTTACAGTCTCTTTATGTGATCCTATCAGCAAGATCAAGTAATTTATCCTTTAAATCTAAAATGTTTAAGGGGTGAGAAGAGTCAGAAGAGATTTTCTAGACCAGCTCTGGACTGAGGTAAAATATTTCTTTTTTGTTGTCGTCTTTGCTCTGAGCATAGTCCCAATCAAATATATTTAACCTCATGTTTTAGTTTAGATAATAAACATTCTGTTTGTTCTTTGTCCTGTTACTGTCACTACATTTTGGTGACCCCGACATGATTAAGTCGATTCTCTCACTGAAGCACCCAAAATTGGTTTAGACCAGGGTGTTTTCCACACCCAAATACCAAAGTAGGGTTTCCGGTGATTTGAGATTTTTTTTGCAGTAGCGATGCCTAAAAACAGTACCACCACGGGTCCTGTCCTGAACCTGTCCCTCTGACGACTGTCACTGTCAAGCTTAGGACTTTCTGGACAGATTCACCAGGGGTATGGTGTCTCCAGGGTGAGGCCCAGTTTGAGAATAAAAGAATAACCTCGTCACAAACCAAGTTTACGCACTGCGTTGCTTCTCTACTGCAGGATGTCACCTGCTGGCTCCTGGATTGGTCAGGTCTCCTCTGGAAGTTCCTTATAAAGCTCTGAGAAGGCGTCTTATCCAGATGTTCACTTTAAGTGATATAAGCGATATAAGGCACTACAGTGTCTGCCTCTCCTCACTGATCAAGGACAAAATGTAAATCCTGCTCCCGGAGGATGAGAAACCAGGGTTTTTTCTTTTCTGTGGTTTATTCATGAATAGGCTCCCAGCTGATGTCCCAGCACACCTTCTTCAGGATCCAGCAATGATCCCTGGGGTTATGGCTCCGTGTGCTGATGAGCTCTGAACGATTCAAAGACGGGGGGACAGTTAGTTTGAAGATGTAAATGCTCTGCCTCATAGAAGTTCTACTCAAGGTTCCAGGAGCCAGTCAATAGTTTCTACAAACTCAATCTCAAACTCCAACCATGTATCCTCAGAGTGCTGGTATCACCATAGATGGGGAAACAATTGATACATACTCCTTGACACATCATCAATAAACTCTAGGATTTGAAAAGATGGAGTTAAAAACTACAACCACGTTTTCTACACTAGACTGGAATTTAAACAACAAAAGGATAAATCACAAAATGCAACAAATAGAAAAAGATGGTTAGTTTGAGATGGAATAAAAAACTCTGAAACTTCCTATTTGAGGCACAATTGGTTTATACAAAGGAAATTCTGCTGTGGATGAACTCTAAAGAAAAGGATTTCAAATAATTGGTTTCAAGTGCAATTATCAATATGTAGAAACAAGTCAATGAAACCAGGGTTGGTTGAGATCAGTAAAAAGGTGTCCTTTACTTTCAGTGTCAAGACCTAGGTTTTGAGACAGTCCAACCTGCAACCTAATGTTCCTTATTAATACTCTCTCTGGAAATAGGTTCCTTGTAGATACAGGAGCCTCAGTATCAGTTTTTCCTCACCTTTCTTCCCAACCAGTCTCTCCTGCTGTTGGAGTTCAGCTCAGAACCTCCAACCAGTTTCTCCTGCTGTTGGAGTTCAGCTCTGAACCTCCAACCAGTCTCTCCTGCTGTTGGAGCACAGCTCTGAACCTCCAACCAGTCTCTCCTGCTGTTGGAGTTCCGCTCTGAACCTCCAACCAGTCTCTCCTGCTGTTGGAGTACAGCTCTGAACCTCCAACCAGTCTCTTCTGCTGTTGGAGTTCAGCTCTGAACCTCCAACCAGTTTCTCCTGCTGTTGGAGTACAGCTCTGAACCTCCAACCAGTCTCTCCTGCTGTTTGAGTTCAGCTCTGAACCGCCAACAGTACAAACATGAACAGTTTTGGTTCCCGTGTCTTGCTCTTCAGTTTGGTTCTTGCTGGTTTGATTGGGATTTTTTGCTAGCTGATGTCTCTAGGTGCAGATTTTGTATGTCAACACCATCTGCTAGTGGATGTTTCTGGATCCTGCCTTTTGGATGCCTCGTCTTTGGAACCTATTCCTTCCATTTCATATGTCCCTGCAAACACCAAGTCTCATCTGTATGTACTCTGTTGTTGTCTACATTCGAGGAGTTCCGAGACCAGAGTACACTGGTGTAGTCTCTAGTCCAAACCAAATATAAAAAGATTTAACCTCATGTTGTACTTAGATGTAATAAACATTCAGTTTTGTTCTCTGTCTTGTTACTGTCGCAACAGTCCGATCATAACTCAAGAACCCCGGGACCGAATTTTGAGGAATTCAGTAAAATAGGCAGACAATGTCTATCTATCTAGCTATCTATCTATCTATCAACCTAACTATCTATCTATCTATCAATCTATCTATCTATCTAGCTATCTATCTATCTATCAACCTAACTATCTATCAATCTATCTATCTAGCTATCAACCTAACTATCTATCAATCTATCTATCTAGCTATCAACCTAACTATCTATCTATCTATCTATCTATCTATCAATCTATCTATCTATCTAGCTATCGATGTATCTATCAAACTAACTATCTATCTATCTATCTATCAACCTAACTATCGATCTATCTATCAACCTAACTATCTATCAATCAATCTATCTATCTATCTATCTATCTATCTATCTATCTATCTATCAATCAATCTATCTATCTATCAATCTATCTATCTATCTAGCTATCGATCTATCTATCAACCTAACTATCTATCTATCTATCTATCTATCTATCTATCTATCTATCTATCAACTTAACTATCTATCAATCAATCTATCTATCTATCTATCAATCTATCTATCTATCTATCTATCTATCTATCAATCTATCTATCTATCTATCAATCTATCTATCTATCTAGCTATCGATCTATCTATCAACCTAACTATCTATCTATCTATCTATCTATCTATCTATCTATCTATCTATCTATCTATCTATCTATCTATCTATCTATCTATCTATCTATCTATCTATCTATCTATCTATCTATCTATCTATCTATCTATCTATCTATCTATCTATCTATCTATCTATCTATCTATCTATCTATCTATCTATCTATCTATCTATCTATCTATCTATCTATCTATCTATCTATCTATCTATCTATCTATCTATCTATCTATCTATCTATCTATCTATCTATCTATCTATCTATCTATCTATCTATCTATCTATCTATCTATCTATCTATCTATCTATCTATCTATCTATCTATCTATCTATCTATCTATCTATCTATCTATCTATCTATCTATCTATCTATCTATCTATCTATCTATCTATCTATCTATCTATCTATCTATCTATCTATCTATCTATCTATCTATCTATCTATCTATCTATCTATCTATCTATCTATCTATCTATCTATCTATCTATCTATCTATCTATCTATCTATCTATCTATCTATCTATCTATCTATCTATCTATCTATCTATCTATCTATCTATCTATCTATCTATCTATCTATCTATCTATCTATCTATCTATCTATCTATCTATCTATCTATCTATCTATCTATCTATCTATCTATCTATCTATCTATCTATCTATCTATCTATCTATCTATCTATCTATCTATCTATCTATCTATCTATCTATCTATCTATCTATCTATCTATCTATCTATCTATCTATCTATCTATCTATCTATCTATCTATCTATCTATCTATCTATCTATCTATCTATCTATCTATCTATCTNTATGCTAGCTTCAACTATAGGTAACTAGGGATGGATATCCAGTATACCTTTACTCCACAATAATCTGAAATGTTTTCCAATTTTAAAAATGTATGATTCAAAAGTTTACTTTTACATTATACCAAATTTTTATTCTGACCGAAGTTTTTTTTCAGGTTATGGTGGGTTGACCCCTGTTTCACCCTGGATCCGGCTACTCAGCCTAGCATATGCAGGTCATCTTATTCCTCAGCAAAGACATTAATCATAATTTCAAGTGACCTTCCATGCTATGAGGGCAATGCCCGTTTTACAACGGTACCCTTAAAACCTTTGTGTGTTCGTCGAGTTCAGAGATATTGTGAATATTGTGTTTGTAGTAATTTTACCGACCCTAATAATCCATTAAAAAAAATTTTTTTAGGAAAACGGAGGCCAAATTTAAAGAATTTGAATCGGGGCTTAAATTTAAGACGTGGCTCAAAGTCAAATATGATTTTTTCCACTTAGAATTGTATTCAATGTTTCAAGATTTCAGCCGGCGCTCAACTGAACCGGTTTTTGGCGGAATTTAGACTCGGCTCAAATTCATTAAATTCGGACTCAGGCGGCTTGTTGTTTAATGTCAAGAATAAGATATAGATGATAAACAAGCTCAAAAGTTATATTGAATGAATAATGAATTTTTGATATAATAATCTTTTTAATATTTTTCAATAAAAAGATTGTTTAGGAGTTGCTTGTCCACTGTTTGCTTGCTTGCTTAGCCAGGTTTCCGCATTAATTACACTTTTAACACAACAGGTCAACTTTTGAAAATAAATTCGAATCTAGAATAAAATATTTGTTTAAAACCACATTTAACCTTAACCACAGAGAGGGGGGTTGTTTTCCACCCACCCCCTCTCTGCGTTTTTTTTTCTTAATAACTATATAACAGCTTACATCAGAACGCTAAAACTTCATCACTTTTTCAATATCAAATTTTGCAAAAACGGGTCGGTGTTTCAAAAACAATCAGAAATGCTTAATAACTTTTGTATTAATTAAGCTATAGGGCTAAACTTTATATATTTAAAAAGCCCCTGAAAATTGGATGTATTAACATGTGTCACATGTTAATATTAAAATCAAAATTTCAATTAAAAATACTTATCTTGAACATTATTCCGACAGAATTTTTGAACTTTTTTAAAATCCTCCATTGAAGGTAGAGGTCTAATTTTATTAATGAGCAGGCCTTGAAAAGTTGGACTAGGGACATGTATCCCACTTCCATATCTTGACTCGTAGGGCAAAATCATAGAGAAGGGTGTAAAACACCACCCCCCTCCCAACCTTTATTAGACAAAAATAGCCCAACCGGGATGGGATTTTTGTCAAATTTTTGTCATGATCTCTATATTTAAACACAACCTTTTTTCTGAAGAGCTATTGAAAGTTAACATTTGCAATTAACTAAATTTAAAATTAGTTTTTATCTTTAATAATTTAATTTGGATAAATAAAACGATGTATCAATAAATCTATTTCCAGTTTATTATCAAGGTCTTTCTATTATTTTGTTTTGCTCAAGATCGACTGAAAGTCATGTACCTCAATTAACTAAATTGGAAATAAGTTTTTAACTTTAATAATTTATTTTGGATAAATAAAACGATGTATCAATAAATCTATTTCCAGTTTATTATCAAGGTCTAATTCTATTATTTTGTTTTGCTCAAGATCGACTAAAAGTCATGTACCTCAACGTTTTGTGTTAAAAACTTGACCATGGGTAACCCTATGAACCATAGTATAAACACTTATTTTACTCGGGTTGATCTTGCTTCCTGTTTTTCCTTAGGCTTAACTTTTAGGTTTGGTTAAATGATAATGATTTTTGTTAATCGCATATAGCGTTAATTTGCCAATGACTAAATTTAAAATAAGTATAATAGAGTTTTGACAACCTTTTTCCAATAAAACTATTTATTAAAATTCTTGGTTATCTTTGGTCATGCTTTCAATTTTTAAACTTATTTTATAAGTTTAGAATCTATTAAACTTTTAGACTGAATAGTCCAATGAACATGAAACTGTTGAATAAAAAGACATGTATTAGACTGAATAGTCCAATGAACATGAAACTGTTGAATAAAAAGACATGTATTAGACTGAATAGTCCAATGAACATAAAACTGTTGAATAAAAAGACGTGTATTAGACGAATTAGACTGAATAGTCCAATGAACATGAAACTGTTGAATAAAAAGACATGTATTAGACTGAATATTTAAATGAACATGAAACTGCATATTTAAATGATTTCCAATCATCTGGTAAAACTATTTTAATGTCGTCTTTCTATTTCTCAGTTATATGGGGTTCATCTACGGATTTTCTTAGGTTTTGTTCGGGCAGGCTAGCAGCGAACCATACAAGCTTAAACACGCAGCTATCTTACTGGTTAGTCGGGAAGGGGGTTAATTTAACAATTAAACAGATGAATAATTTATGGAATGAACTGTTTATAGTTTTTGTATCTCATAATATTATAATTTTACCTATTATCGTTAATTCTTTATCCACGCAGGTTTTAAAAATAAAGACATAAAATCTTAAGCAAGTATTTTCAATAAAATTGTAAACGCTGTTCATGTCTTTAAACAAAATGACAGCTAATATTATTACCCTATTAGTTTTAAACCGAGCAGTTTGTTTCAGTGAAAATCTTTTTTTTACGAGTGATTTAAATGGAAATTTCCGATTCAGGGTATACACAGTGTATTTGGAGCTTTTATACTTGCCTTCCTTTTCCAATGGACCTTAGAGGTAAGAAAATAAATGTTACATAATTATCTAACAAAATTGCTTATTTTTTTATTGAAATTTTAAGAAAATTTTATTGGTTATTTTAGTTTGTACATTTAGACGCTTTGTGCGTAAAAACAATACGGAAAAATAAAAATAAATTTTAAATTAAAGATAAATTTCAGGATGCAATCTACTTTATAGGGATAACCTTTACTACAGTTGGATTCGGAGATATTGTCCCTGAGGTAATTATTCACCTGGCAACTTAGTTTTTGTAGTGCAGAGGTCAAAAACTTTTGATTGTTAAACCCTTTTGTTGTATCATGTTTCTTTTGTGGTCCGAAGGATTAAGATAAGTTCTTTTGGACGGTGCTCCAAAAAACTGCTTTTGGTCATTACAAATCAGCTGTTTCTCACAGATTAAGTACATTATCGCTTTAAATTAAATGTTTCCACTATGGATGTTAACATTTTAAATTGTGGATTTGCGCTCGCATACAAAACGTTGTCTCTATATAATCTTTATCTCTGAAGTATTAATTCGAACATTTTTAAACGTCGTCATTAACTCTTATTCTTTTAGTTCTTCTTTTTATTCTTTTTTTGTGTAAACTTTTCTTTTAAAAACAAATTTTATTTTTTTATGTAATGGTATTGGTTCCTGTAAAAAAAGTGTCAGTCATTAAATGAAACAAATAATATTTTGACGGTAAATTGCAGGGGCAAATACTGAAAAACGTTATGCTGAAGCCACCACTTTTACATGGGGGGGGGGGNAAACATGTAAAACATGAGATGAGATATATTGCTCCTTAAACAAGAACCTGCATAGTGGTATCAGAAACTCTCTAATAATAATAATGATTTATTTATAAGTTTATTATAAATATTATAAAAGATATTTCTGGTCTCATCTATCTTCCCCCCCCCTGAAGTCTCAATTAAGCAATTTAACTTTTTTTAATACAAACAAAAATGCGTAACTATATATCACAAAATCAGCTTTTTCTTATGGCGGTCATGATGTCCAACAAATAAAAAAATGAATTTAAAATCTTTATATACATGTGTAAAAAGCAAGTAAAAAGTCTTTGAGTCAGAGACAAGAGAGTTACAGATCAATTGAAACCTAGAATATGCCGGCAAGGGTAGTTTCAGAATTTAAGATAATGGGGGGGAGGTAAAAAAAAATTTAACCCCCAAATATTAATTTTACCCTCCCTGTAATCTTATAAAATTAAATTCCAAAACCCCCGCCCTTCTATGTGAAATTAGGAGGGTAAACCCCCCTCCTAATTTCACTTAGGGGGGTGGGTAATGGACTTTTACCCCCCTAAAACCTCCCTTGAATATGCGATATTTTCCACAGCAGGTTCTTTGTGTAAAAGTCAAGGAGTATAGAATATAAGGGAGATCGAATTGACCCGGCCCGCTCAACCATATGATTATGCATTTGTACTCCATTTGAAAAAGGGTTTTTATGTTTTAAATGTGGTGTTTTACTATACCATATTAAATAAAACGAATATTTTATATTATAAGAAAAATACGGTTTTATTGCTAATATTTTTGTATTTGTTTGCGTTATTCAGCCTAATTTTTTTCATGTTTAATGTACATACATCATCTCATTTTAAATACATGTACATGGTCTTTGTACATCAGACAAATATTACTTATTCAAATGAAGTACTGTCTACAAAGCATGTATTATCATATGGTATGGCAGGCCGGGTTGATTCCATCTCCCTTATATTCCATGCTCCTTGGTACAAGTACTGTACAGTGTACACGACCAATCAGCAGATCTGTATTCAAGGTTGTTTAAGAATCCTTAGATACGAAATAAAAAATCTTAAAAAGTTGATTAAATCCTTAAATTGTATGTTTCATGTTAAAAATTGAAGTATTTCTTTAAAAGTTGTAAAACTTAACCCCTAAATCGATATCATAGGCAACAAGTGGCCGTTAGATGGCAGTAATTTAATTATAGCATAGCGTGCCGGGACACTACAGGCCTGCTCAGCCTATCCAGGTAGAGCATATGCGCATGGTCTGTTTTTTCTGTGCTTTGAGTACTGTAAATTCAAAACTAATTAAACAGTATATGCATGGAGATATATTGAGACTTTAAATAGTAAAATAAACAAACTATAGCGGAGATCCATAGAATTAATTTATGTTTTGCTAATTTAGACAAATGTACAGTGTAAAAATTGTAATAAGTATGGAGCAAGATTTTTTAAAGGCCAAAAAGTGGTTTTCTTTATTACAAAGTATGTTTTATTATCTTTCTCATGATAACATTATAGAGGCCGAATTTAAAGAATTTCAGCCGCGGTTAAATTTAAGCCGCGGCTCAAAAATGTTAATTCCACTAAAAATTGTATAAAATTTGTTCAAGATTTTAGCCGGCGCTCAATTGAAACCGGTTTTTGGGGATTTGAGACGCGGCTTAAATTTATTAAATTCGGACACAGCTCTAAGATAAAGAAATCTTTGTAAAAAAGTCGCAAGAAAAAAACTGGGAATAAAAAACTGTCAATAAAAACTTTGGTATAAAAGTCCCAGGACAAAATGTCAATGAAAATAGGTCCTAAGTTTTATATTCTTAAAATATTATGGGCCGGGGGCTGCCAATAAAATTTCAGGTAATAAGATCACAGAAAATCAAGTCGTGAAGAAAAAAGTCTGTAGAAAAAAAAATACTATTTGTCTTTGGGAAATGAGATCAAGTCTGAGACGTTTTCATAAAAAGGACTTTTCTTCTATGCATCTACTTATTGAATATAGCCAAGGTGTTTTTGGATATCCAACACCTTTTTTCAAGTTTGTAAACATTCTTAGTTTTCATGCATTTTTCACTAAAAGACGATTTTTTGTATGAAATTAAAATTATGCTGGAACCAGAAAAAAAGTTCTAAAAAATAAAGTTTCAAAATGGTTGGATTTTGTTTCCGAAATCTTTTTTTTCAGATCTTTTTTGGCAGTTATTGAACTAAAGCCACTTATAGCCACTTTCTTTTACTTTAAGGTATCTATCTATCCACATCATACAGAGTGTCCAATATCATATTGGATTATCTCCAAGCTTTAACGCCAAAATACTCGGAAAAACCTAGTATTTTCTGTAAGAATTCTTTTATAAAAACCTTTAAGCACAGAATTTGTTGCCAGTCACGGGGCGCAAAAACTTTGTGAAAATGCGCAAAATGTTGATCCAGTCGGATCGCTTTACGTACGAGGGTGCAAGAGCGTCGGGAAACCCGTCGGTCGCGGGGTGCAATTTAAACTACAACATTTTTCAAAAATGATTCATTGTTTTTAAATATTCTGATTAGTCCCTAAAATCCAAAGCTATACACGATCTAATATGATGTGGGACACCCTGTATTTACAAGACTATGTATTGTCATCTAAGAATCCTGTTTGATAGAAGGGACAGTGGTTGGACTAGTAATCCTTAAGATGTATGACGACCAACTACAGTTAAACCCTTAATAACGAATGCATCGGAGGGAATTTATCAAATGTCGTCTTGACAATTTTTCAATGAGATTTATACTATATTACGTAAATTTCAGTATTTTCGAAAATAAATAAATAGCCATGAATATGCGGGAACAGTTTTAAAGAGCTCCATATAATCATTTAATAAAAAACTAAATATCTGCAACATTCCATTATCAGAAAGTGAAGAATACGACATTGGATGAATTCTTTCGATGTATTCGTTATTAAGGGTTTCACTGTTATAAAATTACCTAAAAACCATTATCCTAAAAAATAAAATCAACAAGCTGAAGTGCCCGGTGTTGCCCCTGGAATTTTGCAAACACTTTGGAAAGCCAGCTGTTTATTATATAAGAAGATAATGCTCATTTGATTATCTGCATGTCTTAGTAATTTACACACTTACCAATATCATGGACCAACTATGTTAGCGGACAAACTTTAAAGGGTTTTACCCTTCACCTTTGCCCTTATGAATTAATTTCTACTTTTTTGCAGTGTTGAGTTTTAAAATTTTAAGTGGGTGTATTTGGTAAAATCCTCATCGATATCTCGTATTTCAATCCAAAATAGTTCACCCACGCTAGTTTCCTGCGAATTATATTCTACGCTATTCTAAAATTGAAAATAAAAATTTTATTCATGAGCTCACGTTAAGGTTTAAACATCGGTTAGCCACGTTTATCCACGTTTATTTTAAAATGAACGTGAATTAAATAATTGATGCACAATGATTTAGTTTTTAAAGGAGCGTAGGCTGATCCATCAACAAACATTTTAACATGTCTAGCTACAAACCCAGGATTTCAAGCAACCATTGCGGCCCTTTTCTGGAAATAATTTTAGCTTTTTAATATTGGTTTTAAGTCGCCATTTTCTTATTACAGTGTAAAACTAAAGATTTCGCTGATATTTCTTGTAGCATTGATGTATTTCCAAATTTTTAAATCGATTTTTTTAAACTCAAAACTTTCTATTTTGAGAGGCCATAATCTTCCCTGAGGTCATATTTTGACGAATATTGGATATACTATAATGTCATATTTGGACCACGACAGAAGATATTTGCAGAAAAAAGGCCCAAACAGCATCCATACGTTTTCCCATTTTTTCAATGAGAACCATGGAAAACTGTAGATTTAGGAAGACGACCTTTCAGCAAAGTATATTTTATGTTGTTACAAAGCAAATAGTGACTGAAATGTGTATTAACTCTGTTGCGATGTCAAATGTTTATTTGATAATTTCAAGTCTAAAAGTCGCCAGCTTCTGTTCCAGAGTTTTCTGGTTCTGACATTATTTAGGATAAAGATAAAGATAAAGATAAAGATAAAGATAAAGATAAAGATAAAGATAATGCAAAATTTAATAAATTTTCGTGAACCATGGTGTACGAACCATTGTTTTTTTTGCACTACACGTACAATTTCTTTTATAAAATTTTGAAAAAAAACTATTGTTTTATTTACTGAAAGAACGATTTTATTGAAAGGACAATTTTACTGTACGATCGGTCATTGTGAAAACTAACAAATTAAAATGGAAAATAACGATAATTTTGAGAACGAGCAAAAGACTTTTTTTGAACGTTTGAAAAAAAACGAACAAAATGGGTCGTTCACGAACGATGAACATTAAAAAAGCGGGGANGGGTGAATCCCCCAACTCCAACGTATTTTAGGTAAAAAAATCAGGGTTAAAAGTCAGAATGGGAACACTTCAATGCGATGTCTC